AGGCCCTAGGGTCTCTTGTACACCAGGTTGCCCCTACATGTCTCATGTCCCATCCCCCAGACCTGGTTGCTGTCCACCCGGTAGCCATGCCTCAGGGCAAAGATCTTCCCCAGTGAGATGGCGATGGCGAACCCAACCACAGCGATGGCGAAGGCATTTCCCACAAGCTTTGCGAACAGCTGGGGGCTGGGGGCCACTGGGGGCACCAACCTGTGAGGAGCATCTGTGAGGCCAAAGGAAGGTGCTGGCCCTGGCCACCCAACCTTCCCTGACCTCCAGGGGCCAGAGCTCACCCTGCAGGGATCTTGCCCACGACATCCACCCCAAATCTGTGGTTCAGGCCCACGCCGTAGGAGATACCCGTGGCCCCGATGAGCTGGGGGGAGAGGCAGAGTCAGGAAAGGGAGGGCTGGCACCACTGTCAGAGCAGATGGAGGAACCACTTTGGGGGTGAAGAGGGAGGTCTAAAGCAAAACCTTCAGAGGGGTGGGGAGAAGTGAGCAATAGGGTGAGAGACAGACGCCACTGCTGGGAAAGAGGAGATGCTGTCAGAGGTAGGAATGTATCTACCCGGGGGCTTTCTGCGTGGTCCCCCCATCCCTAGGCACTCTCACCAGTGCCCCCTCCAGCTAGTCTTTAAATAGCTGGGGGATGCCCACAGGGATAGAGCCTCACTTGCCCCTCTCCCTTCTCCCCTACAACCCGAACCGTGAGCAGCTCCCCAGGGATTGGCAGGGGCAGATGTTGCTTCAGTTTGTCACTCAACAGCTTCACCATCACAAGTACCACCCCTGCCACGAGTGCGGTGACCATGGCGCCAACAACGCTCTGGGGCAGCTTCCAGCAGACCTCCAGCACTGTCTGAGGGGAGATGGGGTCAGAGCCAGCACTCAAGGTCATGGGGCGCGCCCTAGTCCCTTCTCCCACCCTCACTCACTCACATAGATGAGGGACAGTGGCCCAGAGAAGCTGCTCAGATGGAGGCCAAACACATACTTGAGCTGCGAGACGAAGACTTGCACAGACGCCGCTGTGGTGTAGCCGCGGACCAGAGGCTCCGACAGGTAGGTGACCACAAAGCCGAAGTGGACCAAGCCCAGCCCCACCTGTAGGTTGGCCAGGGGCAGTCAGGGGAGACAGGGGTCCCAGGGGTGGCTGGACCAGAGCCCAGGGCAGGAGGGATCAGAGGGGGATGGGCTGAGGAGGAAGACAGTGATGGTCAGACACTGAGGGGAACTGGCAGACGGGGGGTGGGAGTGGGTTTGGCAGTGGGGGGGCAATGGGAGCACATACTGCTGACTTCCCCATACCTGGAAGAGGCCCACCAGGACACTAAGTGTGGAGGCCAGCTGCACCCGGGCGGTATCTCTGGCCGCCACATCGACTGTGGAGTTCAAGGTCTGCATAAAGTCTTCATCTGGAGCCAGGGACTCTGTCACACTGCCCACCATCACAGACATGACAGCAAAGGTGCCTGAAGGGACACAGCATGTCTGAAGGAGAGAGGACACTGTCCTACCTGGGAGGCCTAGTCTTAAGGGAGAGGCCAGGAGACATCAGTTCTAGATAAATATCCCCAGACTATGCTGTGCAATGGAGGCAGTGCAGATGGTCAGGTAGGAACCCTGGGCTCTAGGGCTCCTGGGGCAGCTACAAATGTTGGCCCCACATCATCCCCCTGCCCTACCTGTGTCCATTGGCTCAGGGACACTCGCCTTGTAAAAGATGGAACGGGGAAGGGGCACAGCCTGCCTCAAGCTATCAGGCCTATATCAAGTTCTGGGCCCCTCAAGTTGCGTCACCCACCCACATCCTCCAGGGCCTCTAGGTACCTGAGTCTGCACCCCTTGCTCAGAGGCCTAGTCCTGCCTGGGAATGAGCCTTGGGTGAGTCTCCCAGCCGCCCCACACCAATGCCACTCTCTTCCCTAAGTTCCCCGGCCCTGCTCAGCCCTCCCTTACCCTGTCCTCCGTGGGGGATGTGTGCATCCCCCTGCCAGGCTGAGCCTGGCTTCACTCACCCACCGAGATGTGCCGGGAAGTGCCAAATAGGAAGTAGATAAAGACAGGGTAGAAGGAGCTGTAGAGGCCAAAGACGGGGGGCAGTCCAGCCAGGAGGGCGTAGGCCAGGCCTAGAGGTAGCAATATGGGTTTGGAGGCTGAGCCTTGAGAGAATGAGGAGATTCCAGCCCCAGGTCATGGGCCATAGTTCCAGGGTCAGGGGTCATGGCTTCATGGTTTTTTTGGGGGGAGGGGGGTAAAGTTTCAAGGCCAGGGTCACCACCCAAAGGCTGAGGGTACAGCCTCCGGATCAGGCGTGACTCACCCTGTGGTAGCTGCATAATGGCCACACTCAATCCAGACAGCAGGTCACCCAGGAGCCAGTCTCGCACAGGATACCGGGGAAGCCAGGCCAGGACTGGGAGGTGTCGGAGCAGAAGGCCTCGGGCCCGGGCGCGGGAGCAGCTGGGGACACAAGGGTAAGTACCAAGGACAGGGGCTATCTAAGTCCTAACAGTGTCCCCCAGCCCCCCACTCTCAGCCTTACTGCAACCAGGTTCGCCACTGGTGGGTCCTAGTTGCTGGGCCCCAGCGCCCCAGCTCCTCCAGCTGTTCCTGGTTCAGCAGTGGCCGCTCCACATGGTAGTCTCTCCTCCTCGGCTCCATTGCGTCCGTCGTGGCCAGCAGGACCTGTGTGTCCCTTGGTCTGTGGCGGCGAGAGCAGAGACGCAGTGAGGGCACCCCTGGCCCAACCTCCCCCACACCTCAACCTTGGACCAGAGTCACCACTTGACGTTCCTAGGCCCTAAGATCCAGGTAGGTCCAACCTCCAGCTGGCCTCAAGTCCATGCCTAGGCAGGGGTAGTATCTGAACTTTGGCTGATAGAAACCTCTTCCTGGGCCAAAGTCCCCCATCAAGAAACAGCAGGATGAGCACAGTCCACGCTCCAACCCTGGAGCGTCTGCTATCAGTCTAGGTCCCCGGCTGACTGCCTCTCCAGCCTCCTTCCCTGGCCCCTAGATCTCCCCCAGCCAATCTCTGTTCAGGATGAGTCCCTTTCCAGCTGCTCCATGAGCCCAGTGCTGGCTGGCTGGCTGGGAGCACGGACAGGGAAGGATCCGGCAAACCTGGAGTCCAGTTCTTCAGGCACACCCCTCTTCAAATGAGCCCCTCCCCTCTCAGGGAAGAAAAATATTGGGGCTAAGATTGCCCCGGGCCTCCAGCCTCAGGGTTGAGGTTGTAGGTAAATTCAGCCTAATCTGGGAAAGCCAGGGGATGGCTCTCATCTGGAGAGAAAGGGGTCGCACCTGGAGGGAGAGGCTTCCATCTGGAAAGGGAAGTTCCCACCTGAAGTGGGAGAAGATCTTACCTGGCAGCAGATCTCAGGACAATCTCACCTAGGGGGACACTCTCACCTGACAGAAAGGTTTTCACCAGCCAGGTAAGTTCTGTCCTGGGGAGAAACTCTGATCTGCCCACAGGCTCTCACCTGAAGAGGGGGTGATCTCAGGCACAGATCTGTGGGGAGGGAGTTCTTATCTGGGGGAGGCTCTCACCTGGGGTGGGGGGAGCTGTCCTGGAAACAGACCTCACCTGGAAATAGGAGCTATAGAGGGGGAGCTAGCTATACCTGGCCAGAAGCTTTCACCAGCTGGAAAAGTTTCCACCTGCCAGGAAAGTCCTAAGCTGTCACCTGGGGGAAGCTCCCACCTGGGAATAGATCTCAGAGGGGGCATCTTACCCGGAGGAAAGCTCTCCCCTGCTGAGAAAGCTTCCACCTGTCAGGAAAGCCCTGATCTGCAGGCAGCTCGGACCCACGGGGACGCGTCGGTCCCCCCACGGCGCAGGGCCTCACCTGGGACGGCCTCTACCCTGGGCGTCCCGGCCGGAGGAGGGCGTGAGTGGTGCAGAGAAGATCCTCAGACACTCGCCTCGCAGTCCCGGGGATCTTTGAGCCCCTCGCCCCTCCTCCGTGAGTCACTCGGGCATCCCCGCGGGGGCGGGACCCGCGCCTGGAGGGCGGGGCTTGGCCCCTGGCCCCTCCCCCTGGCTGGGCGCGTGGCCCGGGACCAGAGCGCTCCCTCCCCGCCAGTGGTTCAGCGGGGTGCACTCAAGACCCCCACGGACTCCCTCGCGGCGACCCCCCGGCACGACGCACCCTGCGGCGCACCTCCCGCGCCCGG